TAGGGAAGGCCCTGCGGCTCTCCCACACCCCACCCGGCCCGAGTTGGGTGCACTCGGGCTGCTCCCCCAGCTGGGGCTGCCATGTCAAAGATGAAGGAAGAGACAAGGCCCAGGCCAGTTGGTGATCAGTTGCCATTTATTCCATTCTCTCCACGTGCCTGTGCCAGTCTCTCTTAGCCTCCCCTTCTAGTCTCACACTGCCCCTCACTCCCATCTCCTGTCTCTCCTGCTCATCTCTCTGTGCTCCATATCACAGCCTGGGCTCTCTCTCCATGTGCCTGCTCCTGCATTCTTCCCCTGCATTCTTCCCATACGTTCTTCTCTGCCCCCCTTGCTAGTCTCTCTCCACTCCATCTTGCTGCCCTGCTTTGTCTTTCATCTCTCCAACAACCTCACACTTGGGGCAGTCAGGTAGAAAGCCCTTCCTCACTGCCCATCAGGCTCAGGGGTGTTCCTCTTCTCCTTAGTCCAATAACTTAACATCTTAATTCTACTTCTTAACATTAGTTATTTTGTATGGACACAGTAAGAGATACTTTGAGTTGTAGGGCAGCTCTCTTGGGAACATTTTGCCACAGACTCAGACTACAGTGCTCAGGTATTAATCATTCCTAACCCTAGCAAGGTCCGAATCTAGTTACTGCTTTTTGGATCATGACAGCATTTGTCCATGACCAAGCTCTTAACTTATAGTTAAGCATTATAGTAGTTTAGCCAGGCCCATTTCAATGCCAGGGTAGCACATAGCTCACAGCTTGCCCTGGGTCCTTCCAGTCCTTCCCTGCTTTGGGGGTACTAGGAAGTAAGGGCAACTGAGGCTTAGGTCAAGAGAATAGATGCCCCGGAGGTAAATATTATCTGGAGTCAATTAATTCCCAAGTTACAAAAGCATGTCATTTTAACAGTCTTCTTGTGTCCATACAAAAAGGACATTGTTCTAAATTAACTATGCAAAGTACTTAAGGAGAAGAGAAAAACAATATTTACAATTCGACAGAGCACAAAGAAAGAAGTTACGAATAAACACAGGAAGGGGAGCACTGTGATGGGAATAACTCAGTAAGCCTAAGCTCCCTGCAGCAAGGCAGAAAGGACAAACCAGTGTTATCCTACACTCCAGGGTCCCAGCACAGCCTCCTTCCAGCTCTGTGAGATCATTCACCAGCTAAGAAGCACCCCAGATCTTTGGTGTCTGGGTCTGTATGTATATGGGGTCTCACTGGGCATGGATGGCTAATTGCCCACCAGGTGACCAGACTCAGTCTTATCTTCTTCTTCCTCTGGGTCTCCTGTATGCAGCCGTGAGCTCTAGTCCCATCATCCCCTCATCCACATTTACAGTACTCCAAAACTTCAGGACTAGACCTCAAATCACACCTCAGTGTAGCTGACATTTTTTACTAGTGCTCATTACTTTCTCTGTACATTTGTCACGCTTCATTTTATTTCTAGGACTGGAGAAATCGTACAGCAGGCAAGGCATTTGTCTTGCATACAGCCAACAGATCAATCCTTGGCATCCCATATGGTCCTCCAGGCACCACCAGGAGTGATCCCTGAGTGCAGAGCCAGGAGTAAGGCCTGAGCATCGCTAGGTGTGCCCCCCCCCCACACACACACACAAATACTTCCATTATCCACATATAATACAATTTTTCTAACCACAGAATTAACCTTAAAGGTTGAAGTTACATTTTAATTGCATGTTTTGGAGCTTATTTTCATAACAAATGTTACAGGAAAGAAGAACCAGCAACAAATGATTCCAAAAATCAACCTTCATTCTTAGTTTCTTCTTAAGTATGTGTTGCTGATTTCCTGAAATTGGTGTTCTAGGGAAAGCAAAAAGATTACATTTGAGCCTGTTTCCTGCTCTCAAGGATTACATTGGGGCCGAGTGATAGTACAGCAGGAAGGGCATTTGCCTTGCATGTGGCTGGCCTGAATTCGACCCTTGGCATCCCATCTGGTTCCCCGAGCACCAGTTCCTCAGTACAGATCCAGGCGTAACCCCTGAGCATCACCAGGTGTGACCCAAGAAGCCAAAATGAATGCTGTTAATCCTGCTCCCAAGAACAATAGAGTTCCAGGGGGATGTGATTGTGAGGTTTGGACTGAAGCCTTTAAATTTTACATTTGGACCTTGTGGAACAGTCTGATATCAAATGCAATTTTGGTATCATCAATCTAGCAAATAACCCCACTGAAACACGCTCTTCCAAAACTGGAGAGGCAGATGCAGTGTAGAGGCCACATTTGACATTGTCTTTTACTGAGCATTTACTTAAAGCATAAATATTGAGGCGCCACTTAGACTTTTCAAAGTGTTCTGGATTGAAGCCCCCGTGAAACAGGGACAAGAAGAAATCAAAGAAGCGCCCTTAGTTGCCCCAGGAGTTTCCGCCTCAGCTGCACAAGGTCCACAAGGATGCGATGACTCCTGGGAGCAGCCCCATGCTCGGCCTGCACTGCCAGATCATGCTCAGGAGTGTTGGCACTCATCGTCCCGGCCCCTTTGGAATCACTATCTTCCCCGCCCGAGCCCCACGTTTGTGAGTGCTCTCGGTTCTTCCATGCCCGTTCCCCGGCACCATGAGCTTTCCAGAGACCCAGCCACACGTCATTCCCTTGCCTGCTATCCTCCCCCGAAAGGAATCTCCTCCATTTCTCCACCCTCAGCCTCGGATGGTTGGGTAAAGGCAGCTGGACTCGCCCTCAGTGCTTGAGAACTCATTCTGTGCCTCATCAGGAGTCTCATTCTCTCAGTTCTCCCCCTTCCTGATGGTGTCCACCGTTCCGAGATATTTCAGCCTCAGCATGCAAGTGCTTATTGGTTTCCTTCAGTCCCACCCTCATACTTTCTAAAACGTCACTGCTCTGAAAGAGTTGTTGGTCTATGAGGGCCCGTAAGTGCTGGCAGTCTCTTGGCTTCTGACCTCACTGTGATCCAGCCCCTCTGTGAGCCTCGCCACCGTAGAGGCCTTTCCACCTCCTTCCTGTTGGCTAAATCTCATGGGCGTCTTAACAGGCTCAGTGTACTTCATCTCCAAGCATTCAACATTCCTAGCTATTCATTCTTTGAAGTTCTGCTGCTTACTGCCCACAGTCGCATTCTAGGTGTTTCCTTGGTGGGGAGTCGAGTGGGGAGACCACACCTGATGATGCTTAAGGGCTGGTCCTGCCCAGAAGTGACCATTGGCTGGGCTGGGTGGGAGGGAGAAGCAGTGCTGGGGATTGAACCAAAGTCAATAGCATGCAAGGCAAAACACCTTACCTCCTGAACTGTCTGGCCAGTACATCATTGATAGTTTTTAATTTTGACCCTTCTAAAATGGCCTTTTAAAAGGCCTCCTTGGGGGCCAGAGCCTTGCACACAGAGCCAACCTGGGTTCCATCCCCAGCATCCATATGGTCCCCTGAGCCCCAGAGGAGTGACTACTGAGTACTGAGCCAGGACAAAGCCTTGAGCATTGATGGATGGGGCCCCCAAAACCAAAAATAAATAAAGGAAGCCATGAATTAGGAAAGAAACTTTAGAAGCATTGGGTGGGACACACCATTCTTTATATTAAATAATACTTCCATTAATTTTACTCTAAATCACTTCAAGTAATTTTGATTGGCACCGAGTTTGAGGTTCACCAACTTTGAGGAATGCAGAGTAGGCCCTTGGGGCTTGGGAAACACCTGGTCTTCCCTGGAGGATATTATTACCCAGAAGAAGATCATAAAGAAGGGGAAAGAAAAGAACAGATGGTGGATGCCCAACCACAAATGTCTCCAGTTATTTAGGAAAAAGATCTTTTTTTACATTATTGCTGCTTTTCCTGATCCTCTTTCTTCTTCTCTTTCTGGACCTCAGGACCCCATTGCTGCCCTGCTTTTTTTAGTCTCTAAAGCAGCTATTCCTAAAAGATGTGACTAGTGCTTCTGACTACATACCTCTTACTAAGCTTAGGAGATTTTTTTAATGATCATAAATCATATATTTATTTATTTTTATTGAATCACCATGATATAGTTACAAAGCTTTCATGTTTGAGTTTCAGCCATACAATGATCAAACACCCATCCCTCCACCAGAGCTCATTTTCCACCACCAGTGTCCCCAGTATACCACCCACCACCGTTCCCAACTGTCCTTCTCCCTCTATGGCAATTTCCCCCATATTTTCTCTCTACTTTTGGGCATTATAGTTTGCAATATAGATACTGAAAGACTCATGTTTGGTCCTTTATCTACTTTCAGCCCACATTCGCTCCAGCCCCCCACATCTCCCATCACAAACAATTCCTTCAACCATCATTGACTTGGTGATCCCTTCTCTTTTCCGGCTGCCTTCTCCCCCAGCTCATGAGACAGGCTGCAAACCATGGGGCAGTATTCCTGGCCCTTATGTTTACTGTCCTTGGATGTCAGTCTCATGTTGTATTCCACAAATGAGTACAGTCATTCTGTGTCTGTTCCTCTCTTTCTGACTCATTTCACTTACCATGACACTCTCCATGACCATCCACTTATAAGTAAATTTCATGACTTCATCTTTCTTAGCAGCAGCATAGTATTCCATTGTGTAGATGTACCAAAGTTTCTTTAACTAGTCATCTGTTCTCAGGCACTCAGGTTGTTTCCAGATTCTGGCTATTGTGAACAGTGCTGCAGTGAACATACATGTGCAGATGTCATTTCTACTGTGCTTTTTTGCACTCTTGGGCTATAGTCCCAGCAGTGGTATTGCTGGGTCATATGGAAGCTCAATTTCTAAATTTTGATTGAGAAATATTTTTTAAAAAGCACATCCAGGCCTGAGGAAGAGCTCAGCACACTTTGAGGTGGTCACCGTGTGGTACCCACATAATGACTCCTGAGCACTGCTGGGGGGTAACCCCCAAATCAAAAAACATGTGTTGATTTCAAACAGCATGGATTAAGAATGTATTAACAAAACAATAATGTGCTATATCTGCCTAGCTCTGATACCACTTTGGTGTTTTGGTAGGTTTCCTGAAAGACAGAAAAATGGAGGAATCAGTACATCAGCTACAGCCGTTGAATGAGAAGCAGGTCGCCAACTCTGAAGATGGCTTCGTATGGCAAGTCACCGATATGAACCGACTGCACCGGTTCTTATGTTTCGGTTCTGAAGGTGGAACTTACTATATCAAAGAGCAGAAGCTGGGCCTCCAGAATGCCGAGGCTTTAATTCGGCTGATTGAAGATGGCAGAGGGTGTGAAGTGATCCAAGAAATCAAGTCATTTAGTCAAGACGGTAGAACCGCAAAGCAAGAGCCGATGCTCTTTGCACTGGCCATCTGCTCCCAGTGTTCTGACAGGAGCACGAAGCAGGCTGCGTTCAAAGCTGTGTCTGAAGTGTGTCGCATTCCGACACATCTTTTCACTTTCATTCAGTTTAAGAAAGATCTGAAGGAAAGCATGAAATGCGGCATGTGGGGCCGTGCCCTCCGGAAGGCCATTGCAGACTGGTACAACGAGAAGGGAGGCATGGCCCTGGCTCTGGCAGTTACGAAGTATAAACAGAGAAATGGCTGGTCTCACAAGGATTTGTTGCGATTGTCACATCTTAAGCCTTCCAGTGAAGGTAAGCGTAGCATCTTTATGGGGGAAGGAGGCTGGGGGACTGGAGACAGGGCATCCATCAAATTTGCACTTGACATAATCTGAGTTTATGTGAGTTTTCATTCTGAAAGCCCCTTTTATTCCGTTATGTTTCATGACAACTTGGAATAAAACACCAAGGATAATCCAGACCTGCGTAATCAAGAATCAAATGACAAATGTACTGTTTTAATGGTCTTAATGGTTTTAAATCCTAAATTGTCACCATGCAATCTGGGACACTCACCCACTGATTATGGGCAATCAATGCAGACAAGATTCAAGTTGTAATCAAACCATTCCTTCTCTGTAGGTGGCAGATAGCTAGGTTGCACTGCTCTAGCCCCTCACCATTTTTTTCCCTCCCTGTCTTCCTAGGCCGTATATCCCTGGAACCTAAAGGCTGCTTGAAATAGTGTTCATCTTAACAATTCAGGATGTTAATTCTCTCCAGCCAGTCAGCCAGGGCACATGGTAACTTGGGGCAGTTTTTCTATGTTTATGGAAAGTGACTTTTGAGAAGGTAGTTGCATTTGCAATAATAATTTTGACCTCTGGGCCAGAGAGATAGTACAATGGGTAGAGCGCTTGCCTTGCACACAGATGACCTGGGTTCGGTCCACAGCATCCTATATGGTTCCTCCAAGCACTGCCAGGAGTGATCCTTAAGTGCAGAGCCAGGATTACAGTGGGTAGAGTGCTTGCCTTTCACACAGCTGACCTGGATTCAATCCCCAGCATCCAGTCTGGTCTCCTAAGTACTGCCAGGAGTAATCCCTGGGTACAGAGCCAGGAGTAAACCCTGGGCATCACTGGGTGTTGCCTAAAAGCTAAAATAAAAATAATATTGTCCTTCTTAAAAGAATACTGAAAGTACTCAGGCAAGGATGATTCAGAGCATAAGCGTCCAGAAAAATCAATGTGTCCAAAATTAAACTTTTGTTTTGTTCAAAGTGAGTCTTAAAAATAGAGACAGTGGGTGCAAATTTCAGTTGTGCTCATTTCTTTGTGTCCCCTATTTAACTTAGCATTTCTGAGTTTATCGTCATCTGCTAAAATAGGAGAAAGGGAAATTATGAGGCCTAAATCAGATGTCATATAAATAGTACAGTAGTTTAGCTTTATAGTTATATAGTTAATGTACCATTGTATATTGTATATTAAAATAGTTACAGACTGGGGGAGTGAATAGAGAGACAGTACAGGGATTAAGGCTCTTTCCTTACATCTGACTGACCCTTGGTCAATTCCTGGCACCCCATTTGGTCTCCCAGCACTTCTAAGAGTGATTCCAGACCACAGAGCCAGGAGTATGGCTTGAGCACTGCTGGCTGTGGGGGGAAAAAATGGACAAAAAGAAAAAATAGTTACTGCCCAAGAAATAGGTCAAAGACTAGACACAGGCTTGCAAACAGGAAGGTTGGGTTTGATCCCCAATACCCCATGGCCCCCCAAGGCCCCTAGAGATACACGCCACATATACACACATTATGCACGCATGTGCACACACACACACACACTCATACACACACCAGCCTAGGTACCACCAGTGTGTCTCAAATAACAAAACAATGATTAAATTTAAAAAAACAGTTTCTACACTGGTGAAGGGATAGGTATTGGAACATTTTATGACTGAAACCCAGTCATGGAGAACTTTATAACTTTATTTCACGATGATTTAATAAAAATTTAACAATTTTTAAACAGTTTCTACATATAGTTCCTGAATTACAATAGAAATGCAGTGTTCCCTTTCACATAGTCTATATAATGTTATCTTCATATACAGAATCTTTTCAGTAATTCTTCAGTTATCATGCATTTATTATAATAGTCTCAAATGAAATTTAAGCAACGAATTATCAATATTACATGCACAAGTGTTTTTGTTTTTAGAAGTTACAGAAGTTAATTTAGAAGTTTTAGAAGTTAATTTTAAAATAGTGGAGGCTGAAGCCCTCAAGATGGCACAGCAGGAGAGGCTCTTGCCTTGCTTAGGGCTGACCGGGTTCAGTTCTCGGCACTCACATTATTCCCCCAATCTGCCAGGAGTGTTTCCTGACATGAAATAATGGAGGCTGAGTGGGAATGTAGCTCAACAATGGACTGCATACTTTGCCTGTATGATGCTTGATTCAGTCTGAATATAGAAAAATATAATGCACAAAGTTAGACTCCTGCCCTTCAAAAGAACTCAGTGTATATGATGATAATCCTTATTTTTACTAAATATTTTTTCATTTGCACATTCATTTAAAATTACCTTATAGCTTCTTTTTTAGGTCAGTAGAAGTAGTTCCATGTATGCTGCACAGGAATATACTATAATTGCTTTAGCCTATCTTAAGTAGCTTCTAGTTTTTTATTAAACTATTAAAAATGCATAATGGACAATCTTGCATAAATATTTCTATAAATAGTTGAATTTACAAGGAATATAGGAAAGTGAGCAATTTCCCCATCATCGAACAGTGGTAGCTACCATGTTTTTCAATTTTTGCCAGTCTGAGAGAGGAAATGTTCTACTTTGTTATTTGAATTTGCATTCTTGTACAGAGAGCTTCCTCTTCCTATACTCGCACCTCTGTTTTATGTTGGTCATGTTGTGTCTTTGCCATTTTAGCCATTGAATTAATATTCTTTTTAATGTTGATTATTTACCTGTTTTTCTTTACCATTTATGGTTTAATTTTTTTTACACGTGAATCTTTGATTCTGCATAAGATACAAATGAAAGGATCCAGCTTTATCTATTGAAATGCTGGTAGAGGTTGGACAGATAACTAGTCCAAGAGGGAAATTTTACCAATTTCAATTGGGCACATTAGCTTCTGGGTTACACAAAGAATTATACGGTGTTTTGGTTACTTGATCTATAAAATGTGGAATTAGGAGCAATAGTACAGCAGGTAGGGTACTTGCCTTGCACATGGCCAACCCAGTTTCAATCCCCAACACCCCATGTAGCTCCATGAGCCCTGCAGGAGTGATCCCTGAGAGCAGAGCCAGGAGTAAGCCCTGAGCAACCCTGAGTGTGGCCCAAAAGAACATAAAACAAGTTCCACCACCTCCACTCCCCACCCCCGCCCCACCAAAAGAAAAGTGGAATTAGTAACTGTTCCTCAAACTTAACTCCTTAAGGTTTAGAGGGGAAAACTCATACATGAAACCTTATAATAGCAGTATCATATTTAAACTTAAATAATTCCTTGGCTTTTCAAAGTATAAGTAATTTGGAAACAATCATTTCTTACCTACTTCTGAATAAGAAATATGTTAATAACACAAAATTTATATTTATTTATTTTGGTTTTTGGCCCATACCTGGCAGTACTCAGGAATCTCTCCTGGCTCTGCTCTGGAATCACTCCTGGCTGTGAGCTGGGGGGAGGACCATATGGGATGCCACGGATTGAACCTAGGTCAGCTGTATGCAAGGTAAATGCCCTACCCGCTTTCCTATCACTCAATATTTATATATATTTAATGCAGAAAAACAAGCCGCCAAAGTGTGATTTAATTGAGTATTCAGTGTGCACCTGCTCTGTGACCAGCACAGTTCTAGAACTTGGATAAGATCAAAGGAATAATATGTTGCCCTTAAGGGAGTTTTCTTTTAATTGGAAAGACAAAATAGAAGACATGAAATATTCAGTCATTAGGACAATGTAAGACTGAGAGCAAGAGTCAGAATATAAACAAAGTTCTACCATTTAGTGTCAACTTTGGATCCAGTGATTTAAATTAAGAGTTCAGAAGTGGTACCTAGCTCCTGTCTGGTCAGTAACCCCTATCTGGCCTGCACACTGTACTAGGGGGAAGAGGGCTAGGAACATACTATACATCCTGGAGTAGTCGGCCCTGAGCACCACAGTGTGTAAATCACAAAGAAAAAAAATGCTTGCCAGCATTCAAAAATCAGAATGTAACACAGAAAAATTCATATTCTGGCTTCTCCTGAGTGTGAGTTTGGGGACAGCATTAAGCCAATGCTTTGTTAATCCACTTGTCATGGAAGTCACACCACTCTAGTTGCCAGTCTTCACCGTTCTCCACCATGGCTGGGTAGGTTTATTCTTCCCAGTCTTTCCCAGTTGGCCTTTGAATTAGATGGTTCACTCTTACCCCCTTATAGAGGGGTGGCAAGGCCCTGAATATCACAGCCATGTGTTGACAGGGTGCAAGCTGCAGCCCTTCCATCTTTATCCCTCCATGGAGAACTTTCTCCCTGCCAACAAAAAGTGTTGAAGAAATGCTTTTTCTTTTCTGTCTGGCCTCTAATACTCTCTCAACTATACAAGATAAAGTTCTCGTGGCCAGAGCTCGTGTGGTAGCTAGAGTGCATGCCTTCCACACCCTAGCCCCGTTGGGGGTGGCCTTAGTCACTCCAGAGCAATGCCAGAAATGGCCTCAGCATTGCAGACTCAGAGGCTTTCCTCTGTTACATTCCAACCTACCGGTCCACATTTGTGCTCTGCTTCTAAACGCATTTTTATTCAACGGTTGAAAGGAACACCTTGATGTGAGATTAATTAAGATAGTTCTGTACTCTGGAGAGTTTTAAGGTTGTCAGCGTGTGGTCATAGGAGTCAAAGAGTGAAGCCACTGTTAATCACAGTTTCTAACCCTGGTGTTTCTCACACAGTAAAGCTCCATAAGAATTGCCTTGATATTGGGGTTGGAGAGATAGGAGAGCGGGGACATTTGCCTTGTGCACTGGCAAGAAACAGTATCTGGGGTTGCCTATTGCAAATGTGAATTCACAATGGGTAATACTTCTTAATCTTTTTATTTTTAATTTTATTAAAGGACTTGCTATCGTGACCAAATACATCACAAAGGGCTGGAAAGAGGTCCATGAATTGTATAAAGAAAAAGCACTTTCACTGGAGACTGAAAAACTGTTAAAGTATTTGGAGGCTGTAGAGAAAGTGAAGCGGACGAAAGATGAACTGGAAGTCATTCATCTAATAGAAGAGCACAGGCTAGTAAGGGAACATCTGCTCACAAATCACTTAAAGTCGAAAGAGGTAAGTACAGTAGAAAATGCACTCTTGAAATTAGTATATATATATATATATAAAGGATGCCTAACAATATGGTGTGGAGTAGTTGGCGCTCACTGTGTTCTACTCTAGAAAATGCTGGTTAATTTGCCCTCCTAGTTAAATAGAATGTTTATATGCCACTTTTTATAAAATATACTTAAATTTCTTTCTGTTGTAAAGATGAAATTAATTTGATAAGTCTTTGATCAGTGCATAAATTTTAATATAGAAAGTGTTTTTGACTACAAATTAATGTGTTAGTAATATATTGTTTATGTTATTGCTTGAGCTGTGTTACACTGGTTCCTTTCCAGTTAATTCCTTGTATTTCTTTTTTATTTATAGTTTCCATTACATTTTTTACAGTTGTACCTATTTATTTAATAGGTGTGGAAGGCTTTGCTACAAGAAATGCCTTTGACTGCTCTACTAAGAAATCTGGGAAAGATGACTGCCAATTCGGTGCTTGAGTCAGGAAATTCAGAAGTAGCTTTAGTATGTGAAAAACTGTGTAATGACAAACTGTTAAAAAGGGTGAGCATTGCCTTTGTTAATTCCCACTACCTGAGAAATTTTGGTTCCTTAATTTCAGAAGTCTTTAGTACATTTAATATGTCAGACATATCAGATTGCATTTTGTTTTATTTAGGGGTGGAAATGTAGTTTACGCACCCTAGACATGCTTAGGGAGCCACATGGTACTAAGAGTTAAACTTGGAACTTTATATTTTCAAGACCATGCTCTAGCTGTTGAGCTATGTCGTAGCTCCATGTTTGATTGTTAAATCTAAGATTAGTGTTCTCATTTTTCTGTTTTATGAAACACATTTTTTGCTATACTAATAAATCTAATGCAGAGATGCAGTTAGCTGTTTTTATTTGAATTTTATAATCATGTTCTGCTTTTCTCTTGCTTCTAGGCTCGCATACATCCATTCCATGTCTTGATCGCCTTGGAAACTTACAGAACAGGTCATGGGCTCCGGGGAAAACTCAAGTGGCGCCCTGATGAAGAAATTCTGAAAGCACTGGATACTGCTTTTTATAAAACATTTAAGGTAATGGTTGAATTTTTGTTTTAAAACAAATGATCCATGGCCGGAGTGATATTAACAGTAGGTAGGGTGTTTTCCTTGCACAGGGCCGACCAGATTCCTACATCCCTGGCACCCCATATGATGCGTCGAGCCAGCCATGAGTGCCGAGCCAGAAAGTCAGCCCTGAGCATTTTGGGGTGGGGCCCAAAACCACAAAATAAAGCAAACAAAAAAAAATGACCCAAGTAGGACTTCCTGTCTTTGGTTAAAATTCATCCTGAAGAGACTAGTAATTAAAACTTTTTTTGATGAGACACTCATTTCACTTGAATTCATTACAAAATTAAAAAAATCACAAATCATCCTGTTATTTGTCAATTGCCTCGAGCAGGCCACAGTAACGTCTCCTTCATCCTAGCCCTGAGATTATATTCAAGGCTCTTTAGGAGAATGAGACCCATCATTGTTACTGCTATTTGGCATATTGGGTACGACACAGGGAGTTTGCCAGACTCTGCTGTGTGGGCAGGCTACATTCGGTAGCCTGCCAGTTTGTCCAAAGTAGGAATGAGATAATAAGATGTCATAATAGGATGTCGCGCGGCCGTGAATGCTGGTTCCGGGAGCTGGTTTTTATAGTCTCTGAGTTTAGGCCGTTGATGGGATTACACGGCGCCAGGGGGCCAGTTGGTGGGTGTGACCCCCGCCTACTGGAATTTGGAGGATCTGGGTGGAGGATGCTCGGCCCTAATCCGAGTAGGCTTGGAGATCTCGGCCCTGGAACCCATGTGACTTTGTCCCTCTGCCAGTACCTTCATGTGTGCGGAGAGTGGTCTCAGCATGGTGGTGGCTGGTCCTGGAGGTCTTTGGCTGCTGGAGGCCTGGTCGGGGCGGGGAGGAAAGCTCAACCCGCTCCCCTCCAAGGGGCCCCAGCGGCGGGGACAGTCAGGCACGGGGGCAGGAGACTGCACTGTTCTTCTTCCGGGAGCTGGTTTTTATAGTCTCTGAGTCTTGGCCATTGATGGGATTACACGGCGCCAGGGGGCCAGTTGGTGGGTGTGACCCCTGCCTACTGGAATTTGGAGTATCTGGGTGGAGGATGCTCGGCCCAAATCCGAGTAGGCTTGGAGATCTCGGCCCCGGAACCCACATGACTTTGTCCCTCTGCCAGTACCTTCATGTGTGCGGAGAGTGGTCTCATTGCATTCATTACATTACACTGAATTATATACAGTGATATAAATTAGCACTTCAGGTTTCTCAATAAAATCTTTCTTCCTATCTTCAGACAACAACCAGTTCTCCTAAGATCTTTATTTATTTATTTTTTTTAATTACCATGATCACCATGAGATAGCCCACTACAAATCTGTTCGTGATTGGGTTTCAGTCATACAGTATTCCAACACCCATCCCTTCTAGTATAATTTCCCAGCACCAATGTCATCAGTTTCCCCTCCCACCCCTCCAAGCCACCCCCCACCCCCCAATCCCACCCCCACCCCGCCTCTATGGCAGGCACCTCTCTTCTCTTTCTCTCATTCTAGACATTGTGGTTTGTAATACAGGTGCTGAAAGGTTATCATGTATATCCCTTTACCTACTTTCAACATTCAGTTCTTGTCCAGAGTGATCATTTCCACCTAATGGTGCCATAATGGACCCTCCTCTATCTTAACTGCCCTCCTCCACCCACACCCTTGTGATAATTTCCGACCATTAACCAGTCCTCCTGACCTGTTTTCCCCGGCCTTGATATTAGTTTCATATTGGGTTTTTTTGTTTTTTTTTTTAATCCCACAAATATTGCAGTCATTCTCTATCTTCTCTTTTTTTTGGACTCATTTCTCTCAGCATGAGACTCTCCAGGTCCATCCATTTATAGGCAAATTTCATGACTATTTTTCTAAAAGTGTAGTATTCCTTTGTGTAGATGTATAGATGTACCATAGTTTCTTTATCCACTCATCTCTTAGACACTCGGGTTGTTTTCAGATTCTGGCTATTGTGAATAGTACTGCAGTGAACATAGAAGTGCAGAGGGTGTCTCTGCTGTGTTTTTGGATCCCATGGTATATTTGTAGAAGCAGTATTGCTGGGTTAAATGGGAGCTCAATTTCTGGGTTAAATGGGAGCTCAACATTGAGGAATGTTCATATTGTTTTCCAAAAAGGCCAGACCAGCCGGCATTCCTACCAGCAATGAATGAGGGTCCCTTTCTCCCCGCATCTGCACTTGTGATTCATGTTTATTTGGACGTGTGCCAGTCTCTGTGGTGTGAAATGATACCACATTGTTTTGATTTTCATCTCCCGCATGATTAGTAATGTAGAACATTATTTCATTTGCCTGTTGGCCATTTGTATTTCTTCGAGGAAGTTTCTGTTCATTTCTTCTCCCCACTTTTGATGGAAAGATTGTTACATTTTTTTCCCCCTATGGAGTTCTCTGACTTAATCTTATACCCTCTTTTTTCTGCTTATTGGTTGTAGAGCTTATTTGTCTCGATAAATTTTTTTTAAGAAATTATTTTTTTAGGAATGGAAATTCTAGACCACAGCATAAATTAAATATTTGGTTTTAAAAGTTTGTTGGTAGTTAGTGGAAAATTAGCAGTCAAATTCAGCATCAGTTGAAAAGATTATACAAGTGAGATTTATCTGATCAAAATGGATGGCTGGATCAGCATGCAGACATCAATCAGTGTGATACCTCACATTAACAGAATGAAGGAACAAAACTGCCAGTGTATCAATGGTTGCAGACAAAATTTAACACCTTTCCATGAATAAATTCCATGTACTTAAAGTAGAAATAGAAATGAAACTCCTGAACATGAGAAAGAAATATATTCCTTGCAGCTTTACCCAGCCATCTGTTGATGAACCTTTAGTAAATTTTCAAGCATTTTAAATACTTGTCAGTGAGTTGGAAATGCTGGAATAAGAAGTCCCTGTATCTTAGAGAGATTTGTGTTTGTTTGGGGGCCATCCCCTGCTCAGTGCTTGGGGTCACAGCCGGACTGCATGCCAAGGACCAAACATAGGCTTTCTACATGGTAAGCATCACTCGAGCCCTTTGGGCCATCTCCTTCCAATTAGAATTTTTAAGTGAGTGAGAAGTAAATATGAACTGTTATGAATCTGATCTACTTCTTTATTTTGATTATTTCATTTGTTTTTCTTTTCTCCTCTTCAGACTGTTGAGCCCACTGGGAAGCGTTTCTTGCTGGCTGTTGACGTCAGTGCTTCTATGAACCAAAGAGTTTTGGGTAGCATCCTCAACGCCAGTACAGTTGCTGCAGCAATGTGCATGGTGAGAGCACATCAGCCAGTTTAGAACTGTTGCCGCTAAAAGAATTTGTTTTCCCTACAGAGCAAACTGTAAAGATGGAGCTAATCCAGCCGTATGCTTACTATGCATTCATTTCATCTTTATTGTTTTATTTCATCTTTATTGTTTCTTTTTGTTTTTGTTAGCTTCAGTTAAACACTGTGGTTTACAAAGTTGTTCACAGTATAGTTGTTCAGGGCATTTCAGTGTTCCAGCACCACTGTAACCTTTCCCTCATCATTGTCCCCAATTTCTCATCTACCTCCCAAGCCTGCCTCCCTAGCAGGCACAAAATAATTAATTTCGTCTTTGTGTTTCTGCTTACCATATTTTCGTTATGTTTATTTTATACCTGAGACTTAACTATAAATTTTTATTTTCTATATATATTTATTCACCTGCACGGCAAAGCCTGGCAGTCCTGAGAGCTACCTATGACATATTCAATATGCCAAACACAGTAACAAGTCTCAAAATGTAGACGTTACTGGGCCTGCTCAAGCAAATTGATGAACAACGGGAGGACATGAAAAACATGAAAGAATATATATGTATATACTTAGATATATATAAAATATATATTTTTATTTATATATAAAAATAATATATAAGCATATACAAATATATGAATATATAATATATAAACATACTACATAAAAATACATGAAAAGCTGTAAAATTGCAGCTATATTAAAAAAGCGTGCCTTGGAGCCAGAGCTATAGTACAGAGGGAAGGGCTGTTACCTTGCCCGTGGCCAACCTGGTTTCTATCCCTGGCATCTTACAAGGTCCCCCGAATACCGCCAGGAGTTAATTTCTGAGAGCAGAGCCACGAGTAACCCTGAGCATAGCCGGGTGTGACACCCCCCCCCAAAAAAAAGCATGCCTTGGGCCAAGAAAAATAGTCCTATAGTTAGGTAGCTAACCAGATTCAATCCCCAGCATCCCATTGTAGTTTCCCAAGCCCACCAGGAGCGATTCCTGAGTGCAAAACCAGGATTGAGGCCTGAGCACAGCTCAGTATAGTCCAAAAATAATTAAAAATAAAAATTTTTTAAAGCATGCCTAAAGAATGGGCTGGAGTGATAGAACAGCGGTTAGGGTGTTTGCCTTGCACATAGCCAATCCGGGTTTGATTCCTCCGCCCCCTTGGAGAGCCTGGCAAGCTACCGAGAATATCTCACCCTCATAGCAAAGCCTGGAAAGCTACCCATGACGTGTTTGATATGCCAAAAACAGTAACAACGAGTCTCATAATTTGTTGTGAGACGTTACTGGTGCCCACTCGAGCAAATTGATGAACAACGGGAGGACAGTGCTACAGTACCTAAAGAATAGTCACAATAAAATGTATTTTTACAACAAAAGATCAAATATTAATAGTATCTGAGGAAAAATATAATGCTTACAGTTTATTCAGATAGTAGAGAAGTTAATAGATCAGGGAACTTTGATTCTGGAGACTTGCAGCTTCTCAGTGAATAGCAAATAAATGAAATAAGAAGCAAATTGTTAGCTTCTCATATGTGACTTTATTCCTTATTCACTAAAATGAGAACATATCTATGTGTAAATAGTCCCCACTTGCTCATAGGTCACAGGTGTGTGTGTTAGGAGACAGTTTATTTTCTGTTATACACACCAGTATGCATATTTTAGACACCTGCTGGAATATATTCTGACACTAAATCTGGGACTAATCTAGTCTTTTTGCTTCCTTGTTAAATCCAGTTTCTTTGTAACCATTTATACAAGTATTTTAAAGATCACTCTAGTGTGATAGTATAGTTTGAAAACACATGAATAACATTTAGGGGGAAAAATTTTTTAAGACCATGTCTTACAGGGTTCGAGAATTTGTTATTTCCTACAAATCTGCTGACAGTTACTACCCTTGAATTTTCCAGGTTGTCACACGAACAGAAAGAGATTCGTATGTGGTTGCTTTTTCAGATGAAATGGTACCTTGCCCGGTGACTGTAGATATGACTTTACAACAGGTTTTAATGACAATGAATCAGGTAAGAAACTATCATTCTGTATCTTAACATATATCAAGCAATAATTTTCTATTGATGTGCATGACAATTTGTGAGAAAAAGGATTTCGTCTTCACTTCCTCAGAAGCATGGTGAAAAATATACAACTCTTGGGAAAGCCTAATGTTTGGCTTTCGAAGTAATCATGTTAAAAAAGTAAGTTTTTCTGACATCTTGGTACGGAAACTAGACACTCCCTTTTATTCTCTCTGTTTCCTGAGTTAGATCCCCGCAGGTGGAACCGATTGCTCTCTTCCCATGCTCTGGGCCCAGAAGACAAATACGGCTGCCGATGTCTTCATTGTATTCACAGATAATGAGACTTATGCTGGGAAGGTACATCCTGCTGTCGCTCTGAAGGAATATCGCAAGGTAAAACAAGTCCTGAGAGCCCTTTTCCCCCCAAATAAAACTCAATTCTCAAAGCCACTTTGTTTTAAAAAATGTTGCTGAACCTAATTCTGACCTGGTATAGGGATAAACTATATTCTGAATGCAAAAGTATTGGAAATAAGAACTGTCATAATTGCCTTCCTTAATATATTCATTTCAACTGTTTCAGTTCTGTGTATAACCAAGAATAGCCTTTGAATGCAATATTTCTGTAAGAATCAAAATATCTTGTAAGCACTTTGAATCGTCTCTTGAGACCTGTGATAGAATTCTAAGTGTTCCAATTTTGGAAGTTATTTGCTTTTATTTCATATGTATTCTTATCTTTTCCTACAGAAAATGGATATTCCAGCTAAATTGATTGTTTGTGGAATGACATCAAATGGCTTTACCATTGCAGACCCTGATGATAGAGGCATGCTGGATATGTGTGGCTTCGATATTGGAGCTCTGGATGTAATTCGAAATTTCACATTAGATTTGATTTAGTCATAAGCACCAACATGATCTGAGAGGTCCATTGCCATCAGTGATCTCGAGAAAAATATGCAGCTACTTCCCAATCTTAATCCAATGAAAAACTGATATGATGGTATAGTATACTTATCTATAACAGGAGGCTTAACTTTTACCAAAAATGGCAGGGAGAGGGAAGAAGGAAAACTAAGATAAGCCCAAAGCTCTTTCTGCTAAATAAGCTCTTGGGAAATAGCTTCCAAAGGCACTGTCTCACAGAGAACTTCTTAGTAAGACACTGTAAAGCCCAATTTTTTTTCTGTGGTGAATAATTGCATTTGTATGTAAAAGAAGTGAGAGCCAAAAGTGTAAGTAGTTCTTATCATGTCACTTATTTTAGGAGGGCTTGAAAGCTCTCTTCAGTATTGGCATCAGGAAAGGACAACTTTGATAATATCCAAAACTCTGAAATGCACTGGACCATGTAACTGTGATGGAATATGAAATTCATCTGTAAACTTTTATACTGAGGGGGGTTAAAAAAAAAACACTAAATTATGAATGCGTTTTGAAAATTCCTTTAAGACTTTTCTAAGAGCTCATAAATAATTGCTTTCCCATTCAACAACAAAAAAAAGATTTTGTTTTTGACATTTCTATTTATGCTTGTAGAATAATCACCATTAATCAGAATAATTACCATTAATGAGAAATTTTAATGGACACCCTCAGAGGAGACACTAAAGTTTATGGCAGCAGAGGAAGTCTACTTGGTGTGCTTCTTTGTATCTTTTAATGTATTTCACTGATGTGAGGGGTGTGACTTAACAATTTCCTTTAAATTTTAACAATACAAATACTTTCAGTCACTTCCTCCCACCCATTCTTAAAATAAAAACAGCATCATATTTCAAGTACTGGATCCCCTACGCATAATCTGGAAGTATGACCATTGAAATCTCCACCTTAACCAGATTAGCCTTTCCTTTCATTAAATATTGTTCTAATTTTAACTATTTTTTAGCTGGTTGTAAATGTATTTTAGGTATTTTCTAATTGTAAACATGTCAATGACCTTCTATCCCTTTGTTCATTATTCATTTTATGGCAAAACCTTTTCATTAAAAAAATAAATAAAGCTAGCTAGGTCTTTCAGATTTGAAAGACAGTTTTTGAATAGCATTCTGACCTAACCATCTGTAAGAAACTTTTTCTATTTTGTGTATATATTAAACATCCTTTTCATTTCACTAAAGTGCATTATTTTCTTGAGCAAATACATCCCTTCTTTGTGGGGAGGTTTAATTGTTAAAATGCCACGATCTTTGCTCATAAGTATATCAGGTTTGTGTAAGATAACTTATATGGCTTCCATTTTTACATTCTGTTCTTGAAGTATTAAGGTTTTATTAGGTATTTAAAAAGCCCATATTCCTGAAACATGAAGTCAGACTTGTAAATTACAACTTTCACATGATGCCAAGGATTAGGGATTTTGTGTTTTGGTGGGAAAGGAGGGCATTGCTAGTGCTAAATTCATGTAGATGTTGTATTGTTTCATGGGAAATTTGAGATTTATAAGAAAATGGTAAGAAAATGTTCCTTTTGAACTTACTTGACATTAAAACTAGTTCTGATATTCTTTCATGGCAGTTGGTAGCATTGCTTCTGATGTCATCAGTTTTAACACTTGAAACTTTGGATTTAGCTATATTCAGTTATATATTCAGATTGAATATATATTTCAGACTGAATATGTTACTGAATAGAAGTAAAAAGAACCTAATCAGATTATGTAATATGAGGCTGGAGAAATAAAACAGAGGGTTGGGTGCTTGCCTTGCATCCAACCAACCTGGGTTGTATCCTCAGCATCCCAGATATCCCAGAGCATTATCAGGAGGACTGTATGAGTCCCTGAGTACAGAGCCAGGAGTAGCTCCTGAGCATTGCAGTGTAAAGCTCAACAAACGGAACAACAGGGAAAAAATAGTCATGTAGTATCTCTTTAATTACTTTTAATAAACCCAAGATCGGGGCTGGAGCAATAGCACAGCAGGTAGGGCGTTTGCCTTGCATGCAGCCAACATCCCATATGGTCCCCTGACTACCGCCAGGGGTAATTCCTGAGTGCAGGGCCAGGAGTAACCCCTGTGCATTACCAAGTGTCACCCAAGAAGCAAAAAAAAAAAAATATATATATATATATCTTTTTAAATTAAAAGTTACAGTCTATGATCAGAAATTTGATTCAGTGATTTAGATGTATGAGTCCCTGGATTGGATCCCTGGAACTGCAAGAAAAAACTTTTTTAATTTTTGTATTCTCCATAGAATTGTTAGGAGGAGTGTAGTATGAAAGTTTATTTCCAACCATTAAGTAATGCCTATATTATATGCTCAGATTTATCCACACGCTTAAATTAAATCCACCAGAGAAATCACATTAGATGTGACCCTTTTTGAACTATTTAGATAAGTAGCTTAAATGAATTAGAATTTAGGAAATAAACACCAAGAGCAGAAGGTAATTATTATCAAATCCTACAATTTTAGAGTTGGATGAAAACATGACATTCAAAGCTTAATTTTCTTGATTTTTGGGGTAGGGAATGTGAAGCCCTAGAGTGTCTGACTTTCAAGTAGTAGGTGTAGAAATCTTGGTCACTTTCTCTCATTCCAGTACTCATTCACCCCACAGAATCAAAAGATATTGATTTTGTAGGCTTACAATTATGCGAGGGCAGGGGAAGTAAATTTAATAATACTGGGACGTAATGTATAAACATGATTGCTTTAGAATTAGAAAATCAAATTATGAACATCTACAAAGTGTAGTAATTTTGTAACTGACAGTAATTCTGAAGCACAACTAATTTAATAATTCCTGTGTTTTAATACAACCTACCTTGGTAGAAAAAATACAAACTTTACCTCATTATGAATAAAATATTCTCAAAATAAACAAGTTTTATTTTCTGAATTACTTTTAGAATTACTGTTACATTAGTTTTTAGGGAAATACTGCTTTTCAAAGCAATTCTAAGGAAAAAATCTTTATTTCCTAGAAATATGTAAATATTTTCAGGATATAGTTGTAATTATAAAAATAAAACTAATATTGAAAGTCCATATTAGTTAAAATTTCTTGGAAGTTCCATTAATTAACATTACTGTGTATAATTTAGTAACGGTTTTTGTGGGGAAAATATTAGTGAGGAAGATGCCAGTGAATGGAATTATATGATGCATTTGATCTTAGGAGAATCAGTGGTTTCTTATCAGTATAAAAGTTTAAATTGGGAAAACTTGAAATACAGATAGAAATTTTTCCATTAAAAATACTCTAACCAAGAGGATATATATTTTGAAAGATAAAGGGTTACAAAAATAGGTTCCTCAATTTTTATTTATTTATTTTTGCTTTTTGGGTCACACCCAGCGATGCTCAGGGGTCATTCCTGGCTCTGCACTCAGGAATCATTCCTGGCCATGCTTGGGGGACCATATGGGATGCCGGGGATCGAACCCAGGTCCGGCGCGTGCAAGGCAAACGTCCTACCCTCTGTGCTATCGCTCCGGCCCCTCCTCAATTTTTTTTAAAGCATACATTTTGAGTGAAAAAAAAATGGAAGAAAATGTTTGCTATAGAAAATGTTACAGCAAATACTAAAAAGTTACTATTCATTTTTTTAAGAAGTTACTATTTTCTGATCAAGAATAAAAATCAAATCTTAGATCCCTTTGGGGGTACCAACTTTTTTTTTGGGGCGGTCACACCTGGCGATGCACAGGGGTTACTCCTGGCTCTGCACTCAGGAGTTACTCCTGGCGGTGCTCAGGGGACCATATGGGATGCTGGGAATCGAACCCGGGTCTGCCGCATGCAAGGCAAACGCCCTACCCGCTGTGCTATCTCTCCAGCCCCTTGGGGGGACCAACTTTAATAGGGCTTTCCCCTCTCATTTTTCAAAGTTTTGCAGGTATAAGATCTTTTTTGCAACTTTTTTTTAATTTAAATTCAAATTCCGATTAAATTTGAGGATTTTTCCAGTTGAGAAACATCATTGAAAACAGTCAAGTGAAAAGGAATCCTTTTATTGTGTTCTCTTGTTGGATTTGACTTTCAGCTATTTTATAACTAGAAGTACATGTTTCTTGAGAGTAAAGTGCCTTTCCAGCCAGTAATCAAAAATTAGTGGCACGTCTTTTGGAACAACCGCTGGATTGATACATTCTCTCTACAAATCAAATTGTATTTTATATACCTTTTGCATTTCACATATGCAGACTTGGGAGTGGGGTGGGGCTTAGAGAAAGTTCAAGTATTCAGACTTTGCAAATCATAGATATACCTAATTCTTAAAGAAAGCATCATAAAGCGGGGCAGTGCTGGTAAACTTGGTAGTAGGTAGCAAGCTTTGCATGTTTGACATATTTGAGTCCCTGGCATGTACACGCATAAACACACACAGTAGTTTGAGGGTTTTTTAAATTGTTTTGTATATACTCTTGGTGGTGCTCAGGGGACCGTATGGAATGCTGAGAATCAAACCCGGGTCAGCCCTCATCAAGGCAAATGCCCTACCTGCTGTGCTATCCTTCCATCTCCCACTATCAAAACTTTTAACATACTTCACTGAGCTTATATACATTGTCTTGTCAATAATGTGCATCCACAATGTAAGGTTTGGTTGGTTTGGTCACACCCAGCGGTGCTCAGTGCTTATTCCTGGCTTTGTGTTCAGGGATCACTCCTGATGGGCTCAGGGGACTATATGTGGTTCTGGAGATCAAACCCAGGTCACATGCAAATACCTTACACACTGTACTGTTGGCCCTTCAAAGAATTTTTTGTAATCTGAATTCTTCACTTTTGAAAAAAATTATGAAGTTATTTGAAAATAAGTCTGCTAATATATTTGCTATGGAACACTGATAATGTAGTTACATATACTATTTTAATAACATTATAAACTACACACTTACCTCAATTCCGGGGGGGGGGGATTTATTGCAAGTCAGTAGAAGAATAAAAATGAGTTTTACTACAAAATGTGATCACTGAAAATTATTTTCAATCAGGATGAATTTTGGAAGTACAACCAAAATATACAAAACATACCTGAGTTTAAAGAAATTATCTTTGTTACCATTTAGTTTGGCATTGCCAGACATTCATTTTATTAATAAAATATTTTAAAATAATTTTAAATTTATGTATTTTAGCAGAAGTTAAAATCCTGAATAAAATAAAAGAATAATGTGGCTATATTTATGCTGTTTTAATTGATATTTGGATTGGTAAGGGTAATAAATGAAATTAAATCCCTGCTATTTTACACATCATTACAACACAAATCTTGAAACTTCCGCTTAAATTACTTGTTAAGCTATTTTTACAATACAAACTGTTTAGCATCCATAAATAGCCATGTTTAAACTGTAAATATAGGGGCTGGAGAGATCATACAGTGGGTAAAGTGGTTGTCTGGCATGCAGCTGACCTGGGTTTAATCTCCAGCACCCCTAGAGCACCACCTTGAGTACAGAGCCTGGAATAAGACCTGAGCACCAAAATAAATATGATACAAAAGGACAGTAAGAAAAACTTCTTGTCCTAATTAGGCACTATATGTAATTGGTGGTGATGAAATATTGGTAATGCAAGTGAATTGTACTTCAACTTTTCAAAACTACCAGGTTTTTTTTTTCACTTTTTCAAGCTGAATCACTGTAATTAGATTTACAAGGTTCTTTATTATTGTTTCATGTGTACAATGCTCCAATACCAATCCCTTCACTAATGTCCACTTCCCTCCACCAATGTTACCCAGTTTCCCTCCCAACCCTCAAGATAGCCAGTTTCTGATAATGAAAAACTCCCCAAAGGCATGAGATGTGTGAATCATCTTTTCAAAAAAACTGGTTAGGATTAAGGTATTATAATCTAGTTCTAAACTGTCAATTTGCTTGACATACAGTCTTTGATTTCCATAACTGACCACTTGGCAAACATTTAAATCATACAGAATAATAATAATAATTCATCTTCGTATGCAAAGAGCCTTAAAGTAAAAAAAAAAAAATGAACCTTCTAACTGCCTTAAAATATGGTGAACTCAAATACAGGCATACTACTTTCCATAGGGTGTGTACACTAAGCAATGCCTTAATAGCGTTTCTGAAATCGAGAACTCAAAAGGGTTTTTCAAAATTTTCACTTTTACACAATAATGAAAATTTAACTTCAGTTTTAAAGCCAAATTGTATGTGACTAATTTAAATATCTATTAACAAAATAACCTTGGTACACTGATTTGTTACATATACTTGACTGTTAACATCTAATGTCTTGTGGTAGTTTGAAGGTTTTTTAAATTGTTTTGTACAGCAAATTATATAAGAAGCTGGACTTTGATATAATGGCCTCCAGGACCAAGTTGTATATTTAAATACTTGAATGAAAAAATTCAGTTTTACAGTTCCAAAAATGATTGATATTTAGGGGAATTTTTCAAGACACAGTAAATACTTTGTTTCAAGTCTACAAGTATTGAAAGCTGTGAAGTTGTAAAACATTGATTTGTTGCAATAATAGATATCCAGGCCAATGATTTGTCCAATTACATTCATATTTTACAGTCACTTTGCCTTTCAAAGCAGGAATATTTTATAAAACTGAAAAATTTTTAAATTGTCAAGCTGGTGCTTTAAAAGTATGTAAAGTTTAATGTCTAATAAATTCATTTCTAAGGAAGGGCCCTAAATTGCAGGATGGGGTTTCCTAGGTTTGTCCATAAACTCACTGGTTGTTGAGTCTTCCAAGTTTTAATACCTAACTGTAATTTTGTCTCTTTGGATAGAAAAAGAATGAGACACTTATGTATTGAAAATTTTGCTTCATTTGAAAGCATTCACCAATGCTGTGAGATCTGGACTTTCCTAATGTTGCAGAATCCCATTCTGAACTGATCAACCATGTCACCGTGGAGTGCAGCTGGACAATGAGCTTTCTGCTCAGCTGTATTATTGTAGAAACTGATAGATGGACAAATAAACTCTATGCACATCAAATGACTGCCTTTCCTTAAAATTATAAATTTATGTTTATAACATGCCTAATAAAATCTTAGTAATCTGTTACAATGTTTGGATAAGATCAAACAGGTCTGGTAATTTAACATTGGCTTTATAATGCTTCTAATTGTATATAACTAGTATGTGTTTACAATAGCTGGATGGTAATTTTCTCCAGTGAAATTCAATTATGGGATCAAAATAAGGGGAGTTAATTTTGTACACATCTATAATGATTCTTAAAACAGGATTCTTTTGTGAAGAAATCTACCTGACGTTACCTTTGGCAAAAGTTAATGCCCAAAATTGGCTTTGTAAATAAAACCATTTGTTTCTCTGTGAATTCGCAGAATCCTTTTCTCTCAGAGTTTTCTGAAACTGCTAAGATCTGATCATTGAACATTTGGTTGGTTATTAAATCAGTATTATAAAATTCATTAAGTTAAGGATGATGGCATAAACCAATGCATGGACCAAGATTGCAATAGCATTTCTTCATAGGTGAAAACTTGACAAAAATAATGCTCAAGAAATATATTTCCCAAACGGTATTTCTCATAATAGTTAACAAAATCCCATTTTCCTCAACAGTTATTTTTGTTTTATACTGTTTCTGTATTTTTGCCTCAGCTAGTGGTGCTCGGCGGGCCCCAGGCAGAGCTGGGGATCCCTACAGTTCCTGGGACAGAAGTGACGCATGTTTACTCCACAAGTGTCTTGGGGACAGTGCAACCTCCCATCTAGTCTTTGATTTTTTGCTTGTATTTGGGCCACGCCAGTGTATGGGCATACCAGGTGCTCAAGGGTTACTCCTGGCTCTGCTTGTATCTGGGCATATCAGGTGCTCAGGGGGTTTTGCTTGTATTGGGGCATGCCAGGTGCTCAGGGTTTTTGCTTGTATTTGGGCATACCAGGTGCTCAGGGGTTACTCCTGGCTCTGATCCTGGATCACTCCTGTCAAACTTGGGAGAACATACGGAGTGCCAGGGATTGAACCTAGGCTGGCCTTGTGCAAAGCAAATGCTCTCCCCACTGTACTCTCTCTCCTGGGCCCTACACTCCCACCTATTGCCCAGATCCCCTACTGGAACACATCCAAAAGCCTGGCAACAGTCTGGAGGGCAGAACACTTGTAATACAGCTCAAGAATAATCCACAACAGTTTTCAAAGCTCATTCCCATCACGGGTGCTGAAGACTTCCTCTTTTTAGTTTCTACGCAGAGGTACGTTACTGGAACCACTAAATCATTTAAAGTTTGGTCTCAAAAAGTCCCATTTCATCCTACAAATTTCTCTGGGGGCCACACCCAACATTGCTCAGAGATCACTCCTGGCGGTTCTCAGAAGACCATATGGGAAACTCTTCGCTCAGCAGTGACCTCTGGTGGTGCTTAAGGAGCAACATACAGTGCTCAGAATTAAATCAGATCCAGCCACATGTAAAGCAAGTGCCTTACCTCCTATAGTCTATAGTCCCTAAGTTTATTTTTATTTGGTGTTGGGGGTTTAGGCAGGGGTGGGAGGGCAAGAAGGACAATACAGAGTGTAGAGGCTACTCCTGATTACTCAGGAGTCACAGCTGGTGGACCATAGGTGGTTATTACTGCGGATGAAAGTTTTGCTGCGTACAAGGCAAGTGCCTTACCTCTTGCATCATCCCTCCAGCCCTCTTTAAAGAGAGCATCAGTTTTGATCAATGAAAGTTATAAAAGCTAAGGAATTAACTGCTGAATATCATATGGAATAAAGAATTCCTAATGTTCACCATCTAGCTCTTGGTTAATATTAAGTACATTTGTGTTGTGTGTGTGTGTGTGTGTGTGACACCCAACAATGCTCAGGGGTCACTCCTGGCCCAACGCTCAGCCATCACTTTCGGTGGTACTCAGGAATCTATATGGAATGTTGGGGATGGAACCTCGGTTCCCGCTAAACCATGACTCCAGCCCCAATACCCCCTCACTTCTTATCTAACCCCAGTCCTTGGGTTTTAAATATCATCCCTTTTTTTCAAGGATTGGCAAGAAGGAAGAGATGAGTATTCCATCGTGATTTATTGTTCATTATTTCTGTACCTCTCATGAGGGTTGTTCACATATTTAAAACATACTCAGACATCTGAGAAACATCATCAGCTATCTGAAAATGATGACAGGCGACAAGCAATGTTACGAGCACTGATATCATTGGGATTCTTTCCTCTTATTTTTCTTTAAATAACACTGATGAATCAGTGGGAGCAGTTTCCCTTCACTGTGAAGCCTGTGAGTGTCAGTTGCCCCTCCAATGAATGTCCCATTGACAAATATTCTTGGCACCTGTGGGTGAAATAAGGTAAGAGTTAGTCTCATCCTGGTATGAAAGGTACAGGACTAGTCAAACGGGAACAGACAGCTGGGGCACCAGGACTGAGCTCTGCCCACATTACCTCTGGGACTCTCTACAACAGGAGACTCAGATACTGTTTTCAGCCCTGTTTTGGTGGAAACGAAGGCACAGGTGCTTGCCCACACAATGATACCAAACAACAGAGCTGGCACTGAAGCGCGGGACAATCTGGTTCTCAAGCCCTTCCTCCTTGGGAATGGGACAGGAGAAATGGCATCTCCGAGATTCCTGTGCAAGGTGGCTCTGACTTCAAGCAGTTTGCTTAAGGTGGGAAGCAACCAAGCACAAATTAAGGAGATGGCAGCCCTGTGTTTTACATCCATACAATGCAAAAATTCCTACAATTTCAAACATTAAAAGTACGGGACCCAAAAGTACTCCCTTTAGCCCTGGAACTAAAGATTGCAACTATCCTAATTGTCCAGGATAAATAATACTTTTATCTTGCAAAGACTTCCAAGTAACTCATAGTCACATACACAAACCCTAATGTGAGTGTGTCTCTCCCACCTCTGGAAATGAAGTGTGAAGGGACAGCAGAGAGAACACTCACCGTCTTGGCACCTGTCATTCTGTAGAGAACATCCTGAAATTGGTTTCCATACTCCACCATGTCCAATTCCACCACTTTGCAGTGAACATTTATGTCATGAAAGAGTTTTTTTGCCATTGTGCAGTAAGCACAAGATGTTTTTGAGAAAATCACCACACAGTTATTAGAAATTGTTTCCTGAAGTAAAAGAGGAATAAAGAAAAAGCACCAATTTCATTCTAGATGTGACCTCCCAGAAAGAAATTTTCCTGGGCTGGAAAGGGGAACTGATGTCTCACTATCCGCATGCAAACTAGGTCTCTGGCATTTATTTTCTCATCTGGGGATTGAGGATCAACTTTGTTTCAAAGGACTGTGACCAGGAAAAAAATCAGGATGTCCCCAATGGAAAGTAGCATGTCATTCACAGGAATGGTGACCAGGTCACATGCAGCCAACACCTAGCTGCATGGCACACAATTCTCAATTCTCTGTGTCTTCTGGTGCTGTTGCTTTTCCTTCTCTCATGCGGGTGATGGAACCCAAGGCTCAGGCACAAGGCCCCCCGCTCTCAGCTGCTGAGGCACTTCTCCGTCCTCAGACATGTTTCCCAGATCATTTCATCCAGAGGTTTCCAATCGGACCAGTGCTGGTCCCCAAAAATAACCTGCCACACCCTGAACAAGTGAGCACTGCTGACATAACTGAAATAACACTGTTTCCAACCCCCTCTCGCAGGTGAGAGCCAGCTGATGGCTTCTGACGTGAGGAGTGGGGGGTTCAGTTCACCTCTCAGCAGCACAGTCAAGCCACGGAGGCCCTGAGTGGGAAATAACTCACTCATGGGCCTCAGCTAGAAAGAGGTCCAGCTGCGACTGGAACCCAAGCAAGTCTGGTTCCACAGTCCAGCTCCTTTATCTCTGTTATGCTGCTTCTCAAAAATGTGGGAGATGGACAGAATTAACTCTAACTTCCCATCTGTTTTACTTCCTTCTGTTTTTTGTTTTTCTTTTTGTCTCGGCACATACCCCCTACAGCTCCCATTTAGGCAATGTAATTAGCAATTAAAAAATTGTAAATAACAAAGACTGGGACATTCAGTGGTGATGGCTCGTATGATTTCTTTAAAAATGTAAGGATCTAGGGTCAGTGAAATAGCATATGGGGCTGGCTACCATGACCTGGAGTACACAGTGATCCCTGAGCATCAGCCAAGAACTCAGCCCTGAACGCTGCCAGGAGTGGCCCAAAACAAAAAATAAAAAAATGCAAAGCTTTCACTGACCAGTATAAAGTGTTTACCCCCACAATCTGCAGTCATCCCTGTGTATCTTGTTTTAGTTTGGGGGTCGTACCCAGTTGCTACTCAAAGCTTACTCCTGGCTCTCTGCTCAGTTGCTAAGGGATTACTCCTGGCAGTGCCAGGGAATCTGATGTCAGTCACACACTGTCTTAAGGCCAGTGCCTTAAAGTCCTGTCCTGCCTCTACAACCTCCTGAGAGGTTAGGACAGAGTTCTCATGGGTTCAGGGGGTGGCAAGGGGCAGGAACGTGCACTCTGCATGTGGGAGCTGCATTCCTGTACCACATGGTGGAACTCACCCCTGAGCACCTCTCTGTGGAGATCCCAGCCCAAACACAATCTGTCAATGTTAAGAGTTCTTACATTGGTGGTCCTGAAGAAGCTTCTTTCCAAAATGCTGCCTCTGGGGCCGGAGCAATAGTACAGCAGGTAGGGTGTTTGCCTCGCATGCAGCTGACCTGGGTTCAATCCCCAGCATCCCATATGGTCCCAAAGCATCTAATTCCTGAGTGCAGGGCCAGGAATGATCCCTGTGCATCACTGGGTGTGACCCAAAAAGCAAAAAAAAAAGCAAAAATGTTGCCTCAGGGTCAGAGCATAGCACAGCCAGGAGGGCACTTGCCATGCACGCAGCCAACCTGGGTTCAATCCCCAGCATTCACATGGTCCCCTGAGTACCACCAGAAGAGATGCCTGGGCACACAGCCACGGGTGCGCTCTGAGCACTGCCAGTGTCTTCCGAAAACATGAGGAAGAAATGATTGTCAGTCCCCAGCACTGATCCCCACCCCCAAGAAGGAATAAATGATAAATTGTTTGTGTTTGGCAGTGCTCAGGGCTTACTCCTGGTTCTCCACTCGAGGGGGACTTCTGGCTCTGTGCTCAGAGGATGTTGTCTAGTGCCAGGGATTGAGCCAGGACTGGGCATGTGCAAGGCAAGCACCTTAACTCCTGGTGCCCTGGACTATTTTCCCATGTCACTCTCTTGGCTGCTGTCATTTTAATGCTAAATTTCATCTATCAAAATGATCTAGAGAGTGGAAGCTTCCTCAAAGGGCTGGAGCACAAGTCTGGCATTCACGATGACACTGCCTGAGACCCCTGGGGGGCACTCAAGGACCAACAGGGTGGCCCCGGGGGCCCTCAGCACAGCTGGGCCCGAGCCACTAAGCACTGCCTGAGCCTGCTTGGTGAAGTATTGCCAGGAGCAACTCTAGGGCACCCCTGCCCTGAGAATTGTTCAGGAGGCCTTTAAAACGTTAAACAGTGTGGAAATGGCTCAGTGGCAGAGCACCTGTCCTGCATAGGTGAAGCCCCAGGTTCAACTTCTGGTACTCCATGGTCCCCTGAGCAATCCCCAAGTACTGAGCTAAGAGAAGTGTCAAGAGAAATGCTGGTGTGGCCCCAAAACCCCAATAAGTAAACTGAATGAATCATCCTTTGAAAAAATAATAAAAGGATGCGGTCTATTTTGTCATGTAGATTATTTTACCGTCAGTTTAAAAAACTGTTATTAATTTAGTAATGTGCCAGAGTGATAGCACAGTAGGTTGCGCATTTGCCTTGCATGCGGCCAAGCTGGGTTTGATTCCTCCGCCCCTCTCGAAGAGCCCGGCAAGCTACCAAGAGTATCCCACCTGCTCGGCAAAGCCTGGCAAGCTCCCTGTGGCATATTCGATATGCCAAAAAAAGTAACAACAAGTCTCACAATGGAGATGTTACTGGTGCCCACTCGAGAAAATCAATGAACAACAGGAGGACAGTGCACAGTGGAATTTAGTAATCCATTTTCTCAACCTTGTCAGGTTGGAGAATGAAGGACCGTATTTACATGTTAAGACTCAGTTCTTTGTTCCACAGGGTTCTCCCCCGACATTCCTCACGTCACTCACTTGGATCTGAGTTACAGGGGCAACTGGTTTTCTCAAGGATGATGATGTGCTGCTCCCCATCCTAAAAGGAATTATGAAAGGAGGTGTGATTTAATAAATAACAGTCAACACATTTTAACACATCAAAAATGATGTCAATGAGATCAACTGGATAAAGCCCAAATATATATTCAAAACTTAGTAAAGAAAACGTTTTATTATTTATCAATGCTAGACAGCTGTTTATCTAGTATTTCTTATACTGAAACTAAAAGAGCCTATATGCTTCCCCAAACAGCCCCCTAACACCCTTAGCTATTTGATAAAACCACATTCACTGCACTTAAACGTTGGTAACTCTTATTTATGAATACCAAAAGTCAAATACTCTCCAATTAGTGGTGTCACCTGAACATTGTTTAAAACATAGATTTGGGGCTGGAGCAATAGCACAGCAGGTAGGGTGTTTGCCTTGCATGCAGCCAACCTGGGTTCAATTCCCAGCATCCCATATGGTCCCCCCTGCCCCCCAAGCACCGCCAGGAGTAATTCCTGAGTACAGAGTCAGGAGTAACCCCTTAGCATCTACAGGTGTGACCCAAAGAGCAAAAAAACAAAAACAAAAACAAAAAAAACCCAAAACCCATAGTTTCTATTTTGGGGGGTTAGGACGAAAGTAAGGAGGTCACACCCAGTGGCATTCACGAGCCAAGTCTGGTAGCACTTGGGAGTTCAGGCCCAGTGATAAGATGCAAACCACTGTTGTGGCCACTGCCAAATGCCAGTGCTTTATCCTTTGTAACCTTTGTATAATCCCTCTGCTCTGATAGCTTCTGCTTTTTTATTAAAAGCATGCCAAAATTCCATGAACACACAGTAAAATAGAGAATCCGCAAAGATTCCAAGATTTTTGGGAAATAAAGCTATTTCTGAGATCTCCAAGCCTGCTCAGATTGGGGCTGAGCATCCTCCACCCAGATCCTTCATCTTCCAGTAGGCAGGGGTGGCACCCACCACCAACTCCCCGCCCCTCCCCTCCGGCGCCATGTAATCCCATCAATGCCCATCAATGGCTAAAACGCAGAGACTATAAAATCCAGCTCATTCTTACTTTGGACAACCTGGCAGGCTACCAAATGTAACCTGCCCACACGGCAGAGTCTGGCAAACTCTCCGTGGTGTTCCCAATATGCCAAATACCAGTAACAATGATGGGTCTCATTCTCCTAACCCTGAAAGAGCCTTGAATATGGCACTTTTTAAAATCTCAGGGCTAGGGCGAAGGAGACGTTACTGGTGCCTGCTCGAGGCAATCGACGAACAACAGGATGATCATGATCATGATCATGATCGAAAGCTATTTCAAGAGGTAGAGCAACAGTATGGTGGGTAGGGCACTTGCCTTGCATTCGGCTGACCAGGGTTCAATCCCTTCCACCCCATATGGTCTCCCAAACTCACCAGGAGTGATCCCTGAGCACAGAGCCAAGAGTAAGCCCTGATCATTGATGAGTGTGCCCCCCCACCAAAAAAATGTATTTTAAGTATAACAATGGGATGGAGCAATAGCACAGTGGTAGGGCGTTTGCCCTGCACACAGTCAGCCCGGCCAAGTCGAGTTCGATTCCTCCGCCCCTCTCGGAGAGCCCAGCAAGCTACCGAGAGTATCTCATCCGCACAGCAAAGCCTGGCAAGCTACCCGTGACATATTCAATATGCCAAACACAGTAAGTCTCAAAATGGAGACATTACTGGGCCCGCTCGAGCATAACAATCAATGATTCCAAGTTTCCCAATCTATAAAGTAGGTACTATAAAAACTCCCACCTAAAAGGGCCAGGCGAAGGCAAATAAATCAAAATACAAAAAGCAGGGCCAGAGAACTAGTACAGAGGTGAGAGTGCTTGTCTTGCATGTACTTGACCCCAGTTCATACCCCAGGACCTCATATGCTCCCCCAAACACCACTAGGGGTAACCTCCATCACAGATCCAAGAGTAGCCACAGCAACACTGGAGGAATCCCCCACACCCGCAAATGAAACATAAAAATCAGAATCATGCCTTGAACACAGTAAATGTTCAATGCTGCTGGCATCACTACCATTATTTCCTGATTCACTCCATTTTGTTTATCTAAAACCTAGCTGTGAACTGGCAAAAGAATGCATTTGTTTTATCAGAAAAATACTCACCAAAAATAAGCCAGTGTAAGTGCATCAAATCTCTCTGCCTACCCCACTGGACTGGGGGGAAAATGGACACAAAGCAAGCAAACCATCAGGATGAAATTACACATTTTGCCAAAATGACTACAATTTTCAGAAGAAAATAATATGTATATCTAAGGATTAAAAGAGTGAAATTAAAAATTCATTATTCAAATAATTTAAAGACATTCCAAGCATTTCAGATGTTCCTATAATTTTGTTGCAGAAATAGGTCAAAGCAAGGTCCAGGTTGAAACCCTGGCATCATGTGGTACCCAGAGTATCACATGAAACTCCCCCCAAAAAACCTGAGCTGGGAATTACCCTGATTTGTTTGTGATCCCAAACAAACAGAAATTCTTCCCCCTCAAAATCAACACTTTATGAATTAAGAATTAAAGGTGGGGGGCTGGAGCAATAGCATGGCGGGTAGTGCGTTTGCCTTGCACGAGGCCGACCCGGGTTCGATTCCCAGCGTCCCATCTGGTCCCCTGAGCAACGCCAGGAATAATTCCTGAGTGCAGAGCCAGGAGTAACCCCTGAGCATCGCTGGGTGTGACCCAAAAAGAAAAAAAAATTAAAGGTGAGTAAAATTAATATATCATTAAAACAAAACCAAGTTATTATTTTGTTATTTTTTTTTCCCAAGGCACCATCAGAACTACTGGATAGCAGGAAATTTCAGTATTTTTAAAAAGATCACCTTCCATGGCTTGTAGGTGATTACCCTAGGGTGATAAGCATCTGTCCCCTTGATCTCAGACAGCACACAAGGTAGGACTAAGAAAACAGAACAAACAGATCTTCAGTATTAACAAGAATTAGAGACAAAATTTATCTATATGTGGGACTAGAGCGGTACTACAGCAGGTAGGGCACTTGCCTTGCATGCTGTGGAACCCGGTTCCATCCCAGTGACCCTATATGGCCCATCACCCCATTAGATGTGATCCTGAGCACAGAACCATGAGTAAACCCTGAGTACCACCAGGTATGGCCGGGAAAACATAAAACAGACACAACTATTACTAGAGAACATGCGATATCCCCATCCTCAAGGTGTATAATCCATTACTCTACTCTTTCTTAAAGATAAGCAAAGAAACCATTAGAACAACAAACAACACAACAACAACAAAAAGTCTGTCTATGCTGGCTAGGAGCATTCAGCTAGATGCTGTTGTCAATTTGAGGGGCAAGGCACAGCTTGGGGGGGGGGGGGGTGGCGGGAGAAGCAAGCAAAGTTCCTAGAACCTCAACCAGAAAAAGTTAAGTCAAGGCTGATCCAAACCAAAGCAGAAGTTCAGGGAGAACTGCAACACTCTTTCTGAGCCACAGAGAGAATTCCACGGACTATGCACATGCTTTGCATGTAAGAGGGCTGGGTTGCACCGCTGCACCTCATGGCCCTGGGAGCACAGAAATGGGAGCAGCCAACTCCAAAAAGAAAAAGAAACCTTTTACTCCATGGCTTGGAGGCCAGCCACACAGGCTAGGGGAAAAGGCAGCTCAGATAGAGAAGGGAGCACCAAATAAAGGGTGTTGGGAGGATCCTCCAGGGTGGGAGAAGCATGCTGAAAGTAGACTATAGACCAAACATACATGACTGCCACTCAATGCCTCTTTTGCAAACCCCAGCACCCAAAAGGAGAGAGAGCACAAATGGGAATGCCCTGCCACAGAGGGGGGGGGGGGGGGCGGGGGGAGGGGGAGTGGATACTGGGATCTGTGGTGGTGGAAAATGGGCACTGGTGGAGGGATGGGTACTTGATCATTGTTTAATTGAAACCCAAGCACAAAAATTTGTAAATCTACAACTGTACCTCATGGCGTTTCACTAATAAAAATTTAAAAGAGAAAAAGAAACCTTGTCATCTCAAACCCAGCACTTCAGCATCATTTGCAATAACTGTAAATTGCCTATTACTACATTTAAACCGGTAAGTATTTCAATTTAGGACTTACTTGCTATTGAAACAGGAGTCCTAGTAGGAGTTTCATAAGAGAATGCTTTCCTGGACAGCAAAAAAAGGTGAGAAGTGCCTTTTGAAAGATCACACTACCGCCTTCCACCACCCTGGAGACGGGAGCAGGTAAGGTCTGGCAGGAGGCTGACCCGGTTCGATCTTCAGCATCCCATATGGTTTCTCTGAGCCCTTCCAGAAGAGACTCCTGAGTGCTGAGTCAGGTGTAAGCCCTGAGCACCGCCAGGTATGTACCAAAAAACAAAATCACCTCCTTCCTAGCCAAATGTAATAAAAAGTTGGGAGACAGGAGAGAAAACAGAACCGGGTGGGGCCCAGGGCAAGGGCTGGGGGGGGGGGGGGGGTTCCTGCACTGAAGAGCCCTTGGGGAACCAATCACAAAGAAACTCACGGAGAGGCCCGATCCCTCAGCACTGCTTGGGAAGTCCCCAAAACAAATGCATGAAAATGAAATTTAATAAACTTTGAGGAAGGCACCTTTCTCCCTCCCTCAATTCTGGAGGAGCTTGATAAAACTTAGCGCCTACCAAAGAACGAAAAAGAAAGACCAGCTATTAAGAAATGAAGAGGTTCGTGCCACACATCCCAAGCGGGGGTACCCATCACTGGACAAACACTGAAGGGGCCTCCAGGGGCTGGTCGCACTGTTGCGCCACCAGCCAGAGGCTTCCCCAGAGGACCGAGTTCGGTTGGGGGGGTGGGGGGGCAGGAGAGAGTCCCCGGGGACAGGTGCACATCCCTGTACTGCACAGGGTCCCCCGAGCTCCGTCACTGCGATCCCTGAGCACAGAGCCAGAGGAAAGCCCTGAGCACAACCACGTGTGCCTCAGTAACCAACCCCCCAAAGCTGCGAATTCCTAAAAATCTCGCCAAATCTCTCGGTTTGCCCATCCGGGGACCCCCGCCGGCCGGCCCGGGCTGGACGCTGGGATGTGAGCCGGAAGCACCACGGCCCGCGGGGCTCCCCAAAAGCGCCCGCAGACGTCGGGACAACACTCGCCTCGGGCTGGCCGGCGCGACCCTCAAAACTTCGGCCACTGGGAGGCGGGGGGGAAGGGGGGGTTCCCCTTCAGCGGCAGCGGCGCGGTGGTCGGGGCAGGGCGCGGGACCAAACCGAGACTTTCAGATCCACCGCGAGCGACCGTTTAGTGTCAGCATGCCCCGTGCAAGCCTGGGGGTACAGTTATTCTGTTCATGTGCGACCCCCGTGTGCCGGGCTTCTCTGGTCTTGGATCTAGAAACCTTTGGGGTGGGGGAGGGGCGTGCAGCTACGGATCCAAGAGAACACCACTCAAATGTTTACTGAGTGTCTCCAGACACTTCCCTCGACACAACCGCTCAGGGCACTCTTGCCCTCCCCCCACCCCACCCTCCTCCGCCTCTCCGGGGTCTCGGCCGCCCTCGGAGGGGCCCACGCGGCGCCGGCGGGTCAGCGCTGGTCCCCAGTGCACCGCGAGGCCCGGGTTCCGAGCCCGTCCGCATCACACGCCGCCTACCTGGGGGTCGCAATTCTTGCAGCCCCGCCGAGCCAAACCGCAGAGCCTCTCCAGCTCCGGACCAGACGCGTCGCTCCCAGCGTCGCGCGGCTGCAGTACATGGTCGGTGCCCCTGGCCGGGGCGAGCTCTGCTGCCCGCGACAGCGACCCGGGAAGCCAGCCAGCCTCGCCGCAGGCCGCGCCCCCACGCAGGCCCCGCCCCCGAGCAACAGGCCCCGCCCCCGGGGCTGCCCGCGCCGCCGCCTGCCTGCCAGGCGCCGCGGCCGCGCGGGTCTTCCCTCCGCCCGTGACCTCGCGCGCTGTTCCCGCGGCCCACGTGGCTGCCAGGTCTCCGCCCCGACCTCACCTGAGCTGCTGGTGGGCACCTCCAAGCCCTGCACCTGTTTCCCCTCGGCCTAGGGACGCTCTTAAAACGCAACGGGGCGACGGAGCAGTGTGGGAGAGAGGTGACCAAGTTTCTAGAGTCCGGGAAGCCGACTGATGACTCTCGGAAGCCCAGGTCCGAGCTCCTGGGTTGTTTCCTGGAGGCACATAGCATCGTCACAAATTCCTGCCGGACAGGTCTCTGTGTTGATGAAAATAAGCCTCGCGACCTCATCTTCAGATTAATTAGGCCAGCTGCAGGGCGTTTTCCTGGCCCGCAGTTGACCCGGGTTCGTTCCTCCGGATGCCATCTGGTCCCCAGAGCACCAACAGGAGTAATTCCTGAGCACCCGCAGGTGTGGCCCAGAAAAGACAAATTAAGGGCATTGATGAAAAGTTCCTTTAAGTGATAGGAATATTAGGCTTTGTGTTCAGAATTTTTACAAGTAGTTAGAGCACTTATTCCAAAGCAAAGAATGTGTTTTCAAAAAAAAGTAAGGAAGGAAATGAGAAAAAAGAAGTGATCGTCCCTATTCTACGACTTTGAAAACAAATGAGTGCGGCTAATGGCTACATTGTCGGGGGTGCCCCTCAGTAATGAAAAACTAACATCCCATAGTGCAGAGCTGTATAAAATGAGGTGGGCGAGGCTGTATTTTGCTTACTGAGCACACTTACATCTATTTAAGGTCAAGCTCAAACTGAAGTAGGCACAATAGTTCAGTGGGGATAGCGTTTGTCTTGTATGCTGCCAACGCGGATTTGAGCCCTAACACTACTTGTGGTCCCCAGCCTTGAATACCTCCGGGTGTGGCCAAAAAACAAAAGAAACAAAAAAAAAATCTAAATGAATAGGTTGGACCTTTCTGGGCTTTCTTGTTTAAATATCTCAATTTGAGATCAATATTACCAGGTTACAGAATTTAAAATGCTATTTGTAACAGTCCTTTTCTGCCAATCAAGTAAGTGTTTCATTGTTTTATAAAAGAGCAAAAGTTGAAAAAATAAATACTCCAGAGGAGGTCAATTTATTCTTTATAAATCCAAAATGAACTTTTAAAATTAAAACGGGGGGGGGAGGCTGTTGCTTTGTTTTTAATCTTAAAAAAAGCAATTTAGGAAATGTATGGTCATATTTGTTTTGAAGAAGGACTTAATCTTATTTACATAAAAATGTAGCTTTTTACAGAGTTCACTGGTGGTGGTGGAGTACAATACTTTGGCTTACAATACTTTGAACATTTTTTAACATTTTAAATGTTTCTAAAAAACAAAACATTTTTCTTTTATTTTTTATAATTTATTTATTGAATCACCATGAAAGCAGTTACAAGCTTATGGATCTAAGTCTCTGTCATACGGTGAAACACCCATACCTTCACCAGTGCCCACCCCCAATAACCCCAGTATACCCCCATCCCACACCCTCTCCTACCTATGGGGCAGATGATTTCCACATTACTCTCTCTACTTTGATCACATTCAGTATTTTGATACCAGACCCACCATTATTATTCGAGATTTTACCCCAACACTTAGATCTGCTGAAAAGGCAACAGTAGACAATTTGTTTTCTATTGTTGATTATGAATAACATATGATGTCACGTGGCTGCAGTCGTGGCCGCGCAATTTTGAAATTCCGAAATTTTAAGACTTAAATCTGGAGGGATTTCTGCCAAAACCTTCTAGGTTCCGAGATTTGTTCCTGAGCCTCTGGGATCATGGCCGTTAAGCAACTTGAGCAGGAGCCAGAAAGACCGTTCATGGGCGGCGACTCGGGGTCTCGTTAGGACCGGGAGGAAAAGGCCGGCTCCACCCCCATCCCATGAGGCCCCGCTTTTCTCATCACTGAGGGCCCAAACCTGACTGTCCAGTGGCCTCTGGAGGATGGTAGCCACCGAGCCACCTAGGGGTAACAGGCAGAGGGACAACATCCTTTCCCCCCTGGGTTGGCTCAGCGACAGTAACCTACTGCAGGGTCCGGACATATTTCTGCCAAAAGCCACTGGGTTCTGAGATTTGTTTCTGAGTCTTTTGGATCATGGCCGTTAAGCAGCTTGATCAGGAGCCATAGAGGCCGTTCATGGGCAATGACTTTGGGTCTCATTGGGGTGGGGAGGAAAGGACTGACTCCACCCCCATCCTATGAGGCCCGCGTGTCTCGACATTGCGGGCCCAGACTGTCCAGTGGCCTCTGGAGGATGTCGGTCACCGGGCTACCAGGGGGAACAGGCCAAGGCATGAATCCTATTCCCACCTGGGTTGGCCCAGCACCCGTAACCCACTGCAGGGACCGGACGCATTTCTGCCAAAAGCCACTGGGTTTCAAGATTTGTTTCTGAGTCTCTAGGATCATGGCCGTTAAGCAGTTTGATCAGGAGCCAGAAAGGCCATGCCTCTAATTATATAGCTGAGCTGGAGGTGGTTTGTGGGTGTGCCTTCCACATACCTAACTTTTGGCCATTTACTTTCTTGGTTAACTTTGCCCCAAGTTTTTGGGGTTGGCTGCACCAGGAGTGATCTCTCAGCTCTGAGCCTAGAGTAAGCCTTGAGTACCATCGGGTGTGGCCAACTGAAAGAAAGAGGTGGGAGGGGGCAGGGGAGAACATTTTAAAGTGAAACAATTATGTCACAATTTTTGGTACAATATAGATAGCTAATATCAAACTCAAAATTCAGTGGACATATTTTTTGGAAGGATTTCAAAATGCAAGAATTTCAGGCAAAAGTGTTATGCCTAAATTAAGCGTATATACTAATAATTTTCAGCCATGTAGATGGATAAATGGTATAGAGTTAGGGCGCTTGTGATTGACCCAGGATCCCTGAAATCCCATGTGGTCTCCCAAGCACTGTCAGGAGTAATTTCTGAGTGTAGAGCAAGATGTAACTCCTGAGCATTGCCGGTGTGGTCCCCAAACCAAATAATAATAATAATAATAATAATAATAATAATAATAATAATAATATTTCTAGCCTCTTTGAGCACTATTGGGTAGCTACAAAAATGATTTTGGTCATTTTGATGTCTACAATCACAAGTTACAAAGTATGGAAGGTTGTTTATTTACATAACAGGGAATGGCCATTGGCATTTTAGGTACAACAAAAGTATATTGACAGGGCATCCCGTATGATTCCTTGAGCAATGCCAGGAGTAATTCCTAAGTGCAGAGCCAGGAATCACCCCGGAACACTACCAGGTGTGGCCCCAAAACAAATAACAAGAATTTATAGATGTAGGGGCCAGAGAGATAGTACAGTGGGTGAAGTGCTTGCCTTACAGGTGTCCAGCCCAGGTTCATTCCCTAGCACCACAGTTGGTCCCCTGAACCTGGCCTGGAATGGTCCCTGAGCTCTGGGCCAGGACTAACCCATGAGTACTACTGGTTGTGGTTCAAGAATCCATCCCTGCCTCCACTTTCACCGTGCTTGGCCACCCCCAGTGGTTCTCAGGGGCTGACGCAGTACCGGGGAGCAAATTTCACCAAATATGAGCTCCAGTCCTTCGAAGTGTGTTCTACACTAAAGCTCTATAATTTTTTTCTTTTGGTTTTTTTTTTTTAGGTCACACCCAGCGATACTCAGCTGTTACTCCTGACCCTGAACTCAGGAATTACTCCCAGAGGGACTCCAGGGATTAAACGGGATTCCAGGGATCGAATCCAGGTTAGCAATATGCAGGGGAAATGCTCTACCTGCTGTACTATTAGTCTATAATTTTCATCTTGACTCAACATAGTTTCAGTTCAGATCATTGACATATCTTTAAATATTTTCCAGCTTGTTTTTTCATGCTTAAATTCTCACCTTAAAGTTTACATGCTTTGTTTTACACCTAGAACAGATTTATTCCCTGCTTATTGAAGGGAACTAGGATAAGCAAATATTTACTTGAAAATCCCTTTTAAAAGTTTTCCAGAGTGAGTTCCAGTTTGTGAACTTGCCCATCTCATCTGGGAAGCTTTATAAATTCATACTCTACAGAACAAGCATGATTAAAAGCCTGTGCTGAGCACACAAAACAAATCATATTGTATTCTAGGTTCTTTAGAAGTTCAACAAGTGATCAAAATCAAACTTTAGACAGATTAATGAGAAAAAAAATTGGAGAAATTTACAGCTGCTTCACATGACTGTTAGAGTAATTGCCTGCACTAGGCAGGACCTTAACTGGTTCTCCCTTATTTTCTTTGAGATTCAAGAAGTCACTCAGCTCCTCCTTTTGTTATGAACCCAAATCTGATCTCCTTTATCGGAGTCGGTTCAACCTAAATACCTCTTTATACAGAATTCTTTTATATTTTGTTAAAATTCTATAAATGTTGCATTGTATTCATTTTCCAGTTTTTTTATACTGTGTTGCTAGAGTGATAGCACAGTGGGTAGGGCATTTGCCTTGCACGCGGTCGACCCGGGTTCGATTTCTCCGTCCCTCTCAGAGAACCCGGCAAGCTACCGAGAGTATCCCATCCTCATGGCAGAGCCTGGCAAGCTCCCTGGGGTGTATTCGATATGCCAAAAACAGTAACAAATCTCGTAATGGAAAGTTACTGCTGCCTCTCGAGCAAATCAATGAACAACAGGAGGACAGTGCTATCATGCTACATACTGTGTTACTTCATATTAATCTCTCTTCTGAACATGAGTAACAGACCTGCCCCTATCAGACAATGGTCTATCTTTTGTCCAATTTACTGCTCATGGTGTAAATAATTCTGGCACACAGAGCTATATCAATGTTTTTATTTTCTCATCATCATTAAATATATCAGTCTGACCAGGACATTT